TTTTAATTTTTTAAATGTTATTTGTCATCTAAATGATGGAAAAGTGTGGACTTAACTGGTATACTTGGATTTATAAAAGGTTTTATATAGGAATGTTCTAGTTAGGAAATCACAGCATAAACTCTTTTTATAAGTATATTTGTTTTCAGCTGTATCACGTTATAACTGAGGATTTGATATTACAGCTTATGATATTTTTACTACCTAGGTAATTATTAGTTGACCCCTAAATATGTTTTAGAGCAACAAGTACACAACTGAAAGTTAGTAAGAGCGGTTCGTTTGTTATTTCTTAATTTTTACCAATAGATTCCTTATTAAAAACCAAACAGTGAAAAAAAAAACGATTAACCTGCTGTTTAAGTTTATTAAACTTACGCACTTAATATTAGAATATTACGAATTAAATAACGTTGACAAAGATATATTAAGTTGATATATTAACTTTGCTGAATTATCATTGTAAGTTGTAACGATAAGTTATAACTTTATAAAGTTTATTATAAAGGTGTGCTTTTTGCACTAATCTGTAATAATAATTAGTTTACACTTAAAGGTTCTTCTTTTCCCCTCTAAAGCAGGAAGTTATACATCTGTTGCTTTTAATACAACTTTGTAACAATGACATCTGACACTTTAAAGGTTAACATTACAACTTAAGAACAAAGTTTATCTTCAAAGCATTGAAATTATGTTATAGTAATTGAATAGAGTTGTTTAAACATTTGTTTAACAACAAGTAAATACACCATTTCGTATGTTTGAGAAAGTTGTGGATGTACATGTTGCAGCAGCTGTATAAACAAATAGGATTTAACAAAAATAATGTACCTGTGTGCCAAAATACGAAGCACAGGTAATAGTGTCTTTTTGTAAGTAGGGATTTTCATGACTTAGTTTAGTTTTTAAATATATGGGAAGCATAATTATAAAAATATACGTGTTAGTGTGTATTTTAGATCATACAAACACATGTCATATAGTTTATGAGAAATTCCATTATTGTTTTTCAAAGTTTGCATTGCTAATATGAGTTTTGAGGCTTATGTCTGAACAAAAAAATCTGTGTTCAGAATTTAGATTCTGGTCTTCTTGGAATAAAATGCTTTACAGAAATACAAATATAATTACATCATTACACTTACGGTGCATGAGAGTAGCTAAAAATACTCAGCATGAAATCACATTAAGCTCTATAGGCTCCAGTATCAGACATGTTTGATATGAAAGTTATCAAGCTACACTAAGTTATTTTTGGCTTAATGCTTAAGTAATATGGGAATGATTTTTAGTATATATATATATATATATTTATTTAAATATTGTTTTTCAGGTACAAGATGCAATGGAAATTTTATGAGTTAGTATCAAACATCTATTTATAAGGTATTTTTGTGTCTTAACATCACTTGAATCCTACCCCCCCCCCCATCTTTGTTTCAGAATATTTGACTATATAAAATAATGGAAAAATATAACAAGTTGGTTTCCAACAAGACAAGAGATCGCCTGAAGTCGAAATTTAAAGTTTGCCGAAATGGTCCAACCAATTCGTATACTGTCAGTAGTCCCATAGGAAATATTGTCATTACAAGTTGTCCAAAAGGCCTTCATACAGTAGGACAAGCGGATGATGTCACAGATGAAAACTTCCATCCAGAATCAAAGTAAATATAGATGGAGCAGTTGAATAAGTTTCATCTTTGACATTTTATGTTATTGTCATAATGACTAGCTCAATGATTTTATATATATATATATATATGTAGTAACACAAAAGAACATTTCACGTGGGTAGCATAATAAAACACCATAATGGTTTTCAAATGAGACCCAAAACTCGAGCACTTTTGAACAGTTCACAATTCTTTTTCAGGATAATAAAGAAGTTGGTGAACTATTCGAAAGTGCTCGAGTTTTGGGTCTCATTTGAAAACCATTATAATTTTTGTATGTGACCCTGTGTGCTAACTTCTTAATCACAATTAACAATAACATACTTGTACTCCTTAAATAGTTAAAGTCAATCCTAATACAAATTAATGATTTCATGACTTATAAAGTCATTTTGTAAGGCTTTACAGTGGAAGAAAGTTTTGAAATTATAAAGAATGGCTTGTAAGTTGTGAAACTGTCTCAAATCCAACAGGATAAAGATTTTTACTGCAGTGTGTTATACATATATGTTATTCAGTTGTAAGTTATTTAAGTTGAGTTAAAAGTGTTTATTTCATTCAACAAATAAATAGATATTTTTTTGAAAATTGAAATTTCTGTTCTTGGATTTAACGATTTTCTTATTTTATGAAATTGGGTAAGATACACAATGGTTTTCTGGAGGTTTTAACTCAAACATATTCTGCTAGGCTTCAAATATTTTCCCAGCAAAATTGATGTTGTTAGCTGTGTGTACAATTACTTACTTATTTAAAATATAAAATTTGATTACATGATATATATATAAAACATATCCATGTACTTGAGCAAATGTTTCGACAACTCTAACTTTTCTTTAGTAGCTGCATATTCCCCATAGTGCATCAAATAGATAATAAATAAATATATTCATGAGCATATCACAATATCCCAAAAAGTTACATCACTTTAATGCATGACTTGTGTTTGTTAAACCACTTCTCGAACTTATGAAGGTGCAAAAAATGCCCCATTTTAAGGTTTTTTATAAATAAAATGAACCACTAAGATTTATTTGCTTAGCATTTCTGTGAATCATTTGTCAATCCTAAACGTTACCAGTGAAAGGCTGCTTCACAACATTTCTTTCTGTCGGTTAAAACTGTCCAAATAAACGGTACTTTGTCATGGTTTTCTAATATCAACCACACGTACAAGCTGAAATCAAGCATATAGTGCGTTAGTAAGAAGGTTTTATATACCACTGAAAATGTATTTTCAAATGTAATTTTTTAAATACATTTTGTTTGATTACTTGCAACAAACAATGCGTTTCTTTGTAATGCCTGTGCAGTTTATGTAGTTTTGAGCATTCATGTCATAAACTTACATTGAAATAAGGCTAATACAGTAACATAATAATTTGAACCTTTAATAATAATACAATATCAAACCCACCAGTGGTGGTGGTGTTTAATAAATCATTCCTGTGACAATGACTTACAAGAATACGTATAATACAGTACAAAAATTTGTTTCTCTCTCTCTCTCTGAAGGACAAGTTCAAAACAAAATCAGATATTACTAAGACTAATTGATTTTTGAATTTTAGTCTTAGTGCTCTTAATGTCTTGGTAGTATATTAAATCATTCATCAAACTTTGTTTCAAGCATTACAGTGAAACTAATTGGTCAACAGTGGAGTGATAATGGTTACACCTACAAGCCTGCTCTACTGTGTATAGATTGGATAAAAGTGTACTTTATTAACCCTAAAGAAACCTTAAAGACTTCCTTGCCACCATTTTGTTCATGTATCAGTTCAGTATCAGGTGAGACGTTATCTGCATTCATATCTTTTAAACACACACACTTCTATGTGCAGATATGTTTGGATAGTATTGCTTCATGTTGCCAGTTCTTTTACAGTGATGACAAAAACTAACCTTTCCAGGTTCAATCGGAATATTTGATAGAATATTTCAGATCCTGTATATGATTGAAAATATTTAAAACATTACAAGTTTAATAATCATGTACTTGAATTATTTCTAACTGGAAAAAAATGCTAAAATCACTTTATACACTAAGAATTTGGTACATGTTTTGTACATATTATCTATAACAATTAAAAGATGGGTAATTATCTTGTAGATAGCATCCTTAACCATTAACAGACTGGTAGTTGTCTTGTAGATAGCATCCTTAACCATTAACGGACTGGTAGTTGTCTTGTAGATAGCATCCTTAACCATTAAGAGACTGGTAGTTATCTTGTAGATAGCATCCTTAACCATTAAGAGACTTGTAATTATCTTGTAGATAGCATCCTTAACCATTAAGAGACTTGTAATTATCTTATGGATAGCATCCTTAACCATTAAGAGATTTCTAGTTGTCTTGTAAATAGCATCCTTGACCATTAAGAGACTGGTAGTTATCTTGTAGATAGCATCCTTGACCATTAAGAGACTGGTAGTTGTCTTGTAGATAGCATCCTTAACCATTAAGAGACTGGTAGTTGTCTTGTAGATAGCATCCTTAACCATTAAGAGACTTGTAATTATCTTATGGATAGCATCCTTAACCACTAAGAGACTGGTAGTTATCTTGTAGATAGCATCCTTAACCATTAAGAGATTTGTAATTATCTTATGGATAGCATCCTTGACCGTTAAGAGATGGGTAGTTATCTTGTAGATAGCACCCTTAACCATTAAGAGACTTGTAATTATCTTGTATATAGCATCCTTGACCATTAAGAGACTGGTAGTTGTCTTGTAGATAGCATCCTTAACCATTAAGAGATTTGTAATTATCTTATGGATAGCATCCTTGACCGTTAAGAGATGGGTAGTTATCTTGTAGATAGCATCCTTGATCTCTTAATGGTTAAGGATGCTATCTACAAGACAACTACCAGTCTCTTAATGGTGGGTAGTTATCTTGTAGATAGCATCCTTAACCATTAAGAGATTGGTAGTTATCTTGTAGATAGCATCCTTAACCATTAAGAGACTGGTAGTTATCTTGTAGATAGCATCCTTAACCATTAAGAGATTGGTAGTTGTCTTGTATATAGCATCCTTAACCATTAAGGGATGGGTAGTTGTCTTGTAGATAGCATCCTTAACCATTAAGAGATGGGTAGTTATCTTGTAGATAGCATCCTTAACCATTAAGAGATGGGTAGTTGTCTTGTAGATAGCATCCTTAACCATTAAGAGACTTGTAATTATCTTATGGATAGCATCTTTAACCATTAAGAGATGGGTAGTTGTACTGTAATTATACTGTGAAATTAATATAACTTGTCATATGACATTGAAATTGAAGAGTGTAACTCATTATACTAAGAGAATTTTGAACAGTTTTCAAAATACTGTGGTAGACGTTTAAAATATGTTGTGACAGATTACTGGTGTACTTGTGTATGATGTATTATTGCTCAGTTTATATTCATCGGCTCGGTTTTATCACTCTTACTTTGTCATTTGAAGTTTATTTTATTGGAAAAAGAAACACCAAACTACAGAACTTAAGCATGTTTACACAACTGTAATACAGTAATATCCTTTTTTTTACTAATTATTGATCCAAATTTTCATTATTCTAAACTCTTATCACAACGACGACTTTTGACATATTGTTTTTCGAAAGATACATCATGATTAGTAAGTAGCTAAAAATATCTATAGTGTGATGAGACTTTGAATTATAGTGTTATATGGCTCGTTTATTTTTACACCTAGGTTCTTATCGTGAGAAAGTGTGGAAAACATTGGCGGAGCAAGTTCCGGTTGGAAGCACGATTAGTTACGGAGAATTAGCCAAGCTGACGGGAAATCCTCATGCTTCTCAAGCTGTAGGTTCAGCAATGAGGAATAATCCCATACAACTTCTTGTACCCTGTCATAGAGTTGTGAGGAGCAATGGCTCTCTGGGATTGTATTCTAATGGAACTCGCAACAAGGTCAAAGAATGGCTTTTAATGCATGAAGGTATTTCAGACTTTAAAAAAATGTAAAGATGAATGTGAGATTTCCTGTACAGTAAAACTGTAACAACAGAAATATGATTTTGATAAAAACTGTTTCATGGCATATTTGATACAGACACATTGGTGTAAAGTGAACAACATATTTACTTGATACAGACACATTGGTATAAAGTGAACAACATATTTACTTGATACAGACATATTGATATAAAGTGAACAACATATTTGCATAATACTGACATATTGGTGTAAAGTGAACAACATATTTACTTGATACAGACACATTGGTGTAAAGTGAACAACATATTTACTTGATACAGACATATTAGTGTAAAGTGAACAACATATTTACTTGATACAGACATATTAGTGTAAAGTGAACAACATAGTTACTTGATAGACACATTGGTGTAAAGTGAACAACATAGTTACTTGATACAGACACATTGGTATAAAGTGAACAACATATTTACTTGATACAGACACATTGGTGTAAGGTGAAAAACATATTTACTTGATACAGACATATTAGTTTAAAGTGAACAACATATTTACATAATACTGACATATTGATATAAAGTGAACAACATATTTACATAATACTGACATATTAATGTAAAGTGAACAACATATTTACTTGATACAGACATATTGATGTAAAGTGAACAACATATTTACATAATACTGACATATTAGTGTAAA